CTGTGCTGCCTCTTGATCTCAGAATTCAGCTGAAATTAAATTTTAAAGTGTAAGTGAGAGGTTGTCTTTTTCCCCCCCGTTCTTGATTAAATAATGATTTGAGACAAAAACAATAAATAACAGTGCCGGCTTCCCTGAAGGGCTGAGCGAGACTCCCAGTGAACCACCGGGAGCGGGGATCGTGGTGAGGGGACTTAATTACTTATTAGCAAAACTTGAGTGCTAACGCGGAGTGCGTTAGGGAAGGCGAGGCGGCGGGCTGGTGAGCGCAGGAGGACGAGAATTTCGGCGGGAGGATCGGAGGAGGCGGCGGGAGCAGCTGCTTGCTTGCTTCCTCCCCAGGGCCAGGAGCTTGTCCCTTAAAAATAAAATCTGAGGTTGGCAATGCCTCCAATCGATAAGGCTTCGTGGCTCTGGTCTCCTAGCTGCTCTCATTGGCAAAGGCCAGGAGGGGTGAAAGGTCGAGATGGGGGAGCGGGGGCAACCCGTTATAGAGACGGGCCACGCAGGACACACGTGTCTGTTGCTTTAAGAGGGATCGGGGTAAAACACTTAGGACAGAGGGTCACAGACTCTGGGGTCTCGGGGGCCAGGCAGCTGCGACACAAGCCAGGGGTCCTTGCGGGGGGCGTTGTGGGGCTCGGGCCGGAGGGCTCAAGCCGCCGCCGCCGTGACCGTCACACTGACACTGCAGGAATGTGGACCCTGCAGTGAAGATTTTCTTTCTTCAACACCCACCAAAACGGGGTTGTTAGGTGACACCGGTTAGTTCACGTTGGTGGTTGCACACACACCAGCGGGTGTATCTAAAACAAGGCCCCGCTGTCCCGGGCCACTCGGGCCGCAGCCGACTGACTGTCTGTCCCTTCACCCTCCTCACCCAGGGCTCACGGTCACCCCCCAGCGGCCAGGCAGTGTCTCTGTCTGTCAAAGGCCGCTGGCCTGGCCATGAGAGAACTGAGAGCTCAGGTGCGGGCTTCATCTCCAGCGGGAGGGGCGGGAGTGGGGCGTCAGTGCCGCGGCCCCGCCCAGGCTGAGCCGGACCCTGGTGTCTGCTCTGCCCTGGCTCCTGCCCTCCAGCGCCCACTGTGGCAGCTGGTTTGATGCATCTTCTACCGGGTCCTCCTCTCCCCTCCACCCCCCTCCCCAACGTCCCTACGGCCATGCCCTCTGGGATAAACTACCAGCCCTCCAATGCCCGGCTTGGTTTCCCGGAGAGCCATGGGAAGACGGTGCTGTTGCACCTGGTAGCCAAGCGGATCTTTACGGGCTGAGGGTTCCTGCCAAGACCCAGAGGTGGGCCTTTGTGCAGACAGGAAGGAAGGGCGAGGCTGAGGCGGGAGAGGGGTCAGAGTGGACCCAAGAGGACAGACTTGGTCTGAGGAGCGCCCCGCCCCGTCTTAAATGGGGCCCCTGGTTCCTGAAGACACTGTCACTGGGCAGCAGGTCTAGGCGACTCCTAACAAGGATCTGTAACCAAGCCGGGAAGGAAGGGGCGGGGGCAGCGGCAGGCCTGGAGGAGAAGGCGCAGTGGATGGAGAGGAGCTGGAGTGAATTTTGAGAGGCCGGTTATGCAAAGGAGGCAACAGGGCGTGGCCGGGGAGCTGTCCCTGGTATCAGTGTGGTACGGGCCACTGTTGGCATCTTCCATGCTGGAGGGGGTGCCCGCTCAGAAGGAGCCCTCGAGGCAGGAGGGCAGAGGCCAGGGATAGAGGCCTCTTTGTCTGCCTGTCACGGAGTCGAGACTTGGTCTCCTGTGCGTCCTCATAGCTGTTACACACACACACACACACACACACACCCGTCTCTGGCTCCCTTCAGTTGTGTCTCTTCCTTGTACCGGGTGAATGGCAAGCACTGGGAAAGGTAGAGTCTGAGATTTTGAGCCATGAAACTGGCCAGACATCCTAATGAGTTTATTAAAATGTCCTGTCCCTGGAAACAGACAGAGCCACATAGATTTCAGGGGAAGAAGCAGGGATGAATGCCCTTTCGTCCCCATCCCGCCCGGTGAACACGCCAATCCGAACAGGTCAAACAGAGGGGGGAGAACTGTGTGTCCGGCACCTGCCAGGATGTTACATCACTGTGTGCCCGGGCCGGTTGTAAATACTGACCTGCTCGCCGCAGCCCAGGGGCGGGCTGTGAAGGACGCGTCATGCATGTCACAGAACTGAGTGGGCCCTTTAGACGGGCGGACAGGTGTGTGTTTGCAGGCACCAGGGCCAGCCCCGTGGGAACACTGCACGGCACCTGTATCTCTGTGTGCCGGTGAGGATGGAAGTCCCCTGTGGATGTTGGCTGTGGTCAGGCAGAGGCGCTCCGAAAGTGTCCCCGTGAGCACAGGCTGTGGGGTTAGAAGGTGGCGGGGAAAAGGTCCCCTTCTGCTTCCACCAGCCCCGAGGGGCCCCCCACTTGCCCAGTCTCTGCCACTGGGGACCCACAATGCACCAGGGCCAATCATTGAAATCAGTAGGCAAGGCTTTGAGTGCAAACAAGGGAAGGGTCCAGCCCTGCCAGGTTCTGGGGAGCGAGCAGGCCAGGGAACATGGGATCGTTGTTCTCCAGTCCCTTCCCTTGAGCCTGGTTCCCTCCACGGAGGGCTTGCCTGGCTCACCGTGACATCCTAGCCACCAAACACGCACCACCCCTGGACCGCACCCTGGCGGAGCGCTCGCCCCAGCACTCGGCCCGGGTCCAGCTGCCTGGCATGGCGCTGACGCCTGACCGGCTGTGGAAAGACACCTTCCCTTTCCCACCCCAGAGGCAGGGAAGAGGTGACATCCACACTGCAAACAGGAAGACCAAAAGGAGCCAGAAACTCCGCCTGAGCAACCTGATTTTGAGGTCCCTTCTCCGAGGCAAAGCTAGCCAGGACCCAAGCAGGGAGGGCAGCAGCCGTGCTGGGTAGAACGTGGCAACGCTGGGCCATCCCTTGGCTGTGCTCAAAGCCTCCTGGGAGAATCCACGAGGAACCCCGCCTCCCGGGCCCAGAGCCGCCATGCCGAGGAGCCAGAGGTGCCCGTGACCATCCCAGTTGCGGCGTTCCCATGTCTCACCCTCAGGCCAGCTGCTGAGAAGGCGGGAATGTTCCTTCAGAAAGCCCCAGTGCATAAGATCAAGTGAGGGGCCGGCAGGCTGACGGTGAGGATGGGGGGGCCTGGGCCAGCATCTAAAGGCAGCAGCCCACGTGCTCTCCACGTGCATGTCTGCAAGTCAGGCCAGGGACCTCGGTGAAAGGCAAGCTCCTCCCTCGTCAGCATGTCTTCACAAGTATCTCTCTCGTCGGGGCCCTCAGGCCTTCAGAGAACTGGGCCGGGTGTGGCAGTGTGGAACCTGCCCAGGGCCTGGCACCCCTTCTCGGCCTCCTACACCCCGCGGCACCTGGATGGACCCCACACCTGCACGCTGACACCTCAGCCTGAGCCTCCGAGGCTTGTCCGGAGAGCCCCTTGGAGCTGGGAGTGTGTGCGCCTTGAGAACAGGGAGATCCAGGGTGAGCCGCAGAGACCCGGGGCTCGGACCATTTAAACCGGATTCTGGGGTCTTAGTTCCCGAGGCGTCCTCTGGATCCCGGGGGGATGGTTACAGTTGGAGGAGGCCCAGGCGGGGGTTCCTCTTGCCGCAGCTAAACACGCCTGCCCTGCTGGCGGGGACCAGAACCAACCACGGGTCCCCCCAGGTGTGAGACACCCAGACCCTGGAGAGAGAACCATCCGCTGGCTTCTGAACACACCACCTCCCCACGGGCGGGCTCTCTGGCACCCCTTCACTCCGGCTGTCCTAGGTGGACCCCAAGCAGGATTCTGGGAACCCCTCCTCGTTCCCAGTCACCCCAAAGCCACATCTCCAGGCCCCGCCTTTTGCTGCAAGCAGACCCTCCCTGTGTGGCCTGATCCTGGCGCCAGACAGATGTCAGCGAGCGTCCTTGGTCCAGCTCGGGCACTCGGGGGTGACACGAGGTAGTGCTGGCAGCTCGAGGTCCTCAGAGAGGACGCAAACAGCCCCGCCGCCTCCCCATCCAGGCCCCGGAGAAACCAAAAGGCGAAGCTCAGGGCCCAGCGTGAGGGTGTGCAGGAAGGTGTGTGTGTTTTCTTGTCATTTGCGACTCTAACGATGGACTCACGTTGCCCGCTCTTCCCTTTCTCTTACACCTTACCTACCTACTAAAGGAGGAGCTCTTGCTTGGTAAGTGGATAAAATCCGCAAAGACATGAGAGCATTTGTTAGAAGCCACTCGAGAGCCTTTAGCCACCTGCTCCGGGGGAAGGACGCACACAGAGGCCGTAGAGTTTTTTGTTTGTTTTCGGTCAGATTGTTTGACTTCCTTTGGCCCCGCCCCCTTGTGTGCCCCTTCGATTGAACACTGCTAAAATGCCATTTTGTGACCTTGACTCTACATATATATGTTTTTAAAAGCTCATCTTTATTTCATTTCTTTTCCCCATGCGCTATTTGTTTTAAGGATCTATTCAGGCAACTTTTTTATTTAAAAAGAAAAAAAAAATAGTCCAAATCATTGAGAATTTGGTTAACGTTTAAAATTTTGGCTTTGTCTTTTTTTTTTTTTTTTTTTTCAGTTGCAAGATAATTTTTTTTTTCAGGCCCACAGTCCCATTTCTTTCCCTTTCCCCTTCCTTTATTTTATTATTGTTTTAGATTAAGGGTGTACCCACCCCCCTTTCTGTTAAGTTGCCTCTTTGGTTTGCGTTAATTCATTAGAAATTAAATTTTGTATAATTTCCTTTTTCTTTTGTTTAATCTGGATCGCATGCTTTTTCTCTGCATGATACCTCAATCTTCCAGTTATCCTAGCAGGGGGTGAGAGATATCTCCTTTCTGTGGTATCCTTTCAGGAATTTGTGCTTTTGTTTTTGGCGTCTCTTCTTTCCTCTCTCTTTCTCTCGTTACAGTGCATCATGACGGTAAACATTTCTAGGTTATCTAGACACAGCCGTGGGCCGGTGCTCAGCGCGTCCAACGGGTGTTTTTGCTTTCAGATCACTGGGTCGGGGTCTGCTGCTGACCTCTTTACCAAAACAGCCAGCCCGCTTGCTGCCCGCCGCGGCCGCTCCCAGGAGTACGACTCAGGCCATGACACCTCCTCGCCGCCCTCCACGCAGATCAGCTCCAGCCGGTCTCGGGGTCCGGAGAAGGAGAGCCCCGGTGGGGACCGCAGCCAGGGCCGGGACCTCCACAGCGGCAACACCTCCGATTCAGGGAACTCCTTCACCACCTCCTCTCCCCAGAACAAGGGGACGGCTCCCGAGAACCTCTCCCCTGCCAGCAGGGGCAGAGAGCCAAGGTCAGTGCCCTGGACAGTGGGAGCAGGGGACCCCTTAGCTCTGCATCATAGCCTCGCACCCCTATCCTGCACCTCCCACTGAGCTCCGACCCAGGAGTCTTTTATTTGCAAGAGGAAAAAAACTCGAACTGGCATCATTTTTAACAAATCCTGCTTTTTTAAAAATGTTTTTTGAAATGTTCGGCTTCAGGTACAGCTGGATCCAGGTGCTCAAAAATATATCCTTGGGAATCTGTCCCAAATACTGACGATGCTCTCCCTCCCACAGGGGACGGGAGTCACCGGTGAAGTCCAGTGCAGTCCCGGCCACAGCCCAGAGCTCCCCCAGAAGAGGGTGCTCCCGCAGCTCCTCCCATGCCAGCACCCGGTCCTCCAGCCACTCCTCCCGGTCCCCCAGCCCCAGGGCCTCCCCCAGGTACAGCCGAAGCCGGTCCGCCTCCTCTGGGAAAAGGTGAGTGCCCTTTGACCTTGGCTCTGCAGCATCTCCTCCCGAGGGAGCTGAGGAGTTCAGAGGCAGAGCTGTCCGTGGACCAGGGGCAGAGGAGGCAGGCAGGCGTGAGTTTGAATGTGTTTACTCAGGACTAGCTGCTCGCCCGGGGCTTCTGCTCATCTCTCCAGCCTCAGTTTCCTCATCTGCAAAATGAAAATAATGATGCCCTGAAGGATTGTTCCGAGAACTACAAGGCACTTAGAGCAGCTTGGGACAAAATAAATATTAGTTATGATTGTTGCTATTGGCATGATGAGGAGCTGATGTGTGTCATTAGCTTCTGCAAAAATAAAATACTCCCCACCCACCCACCTGGCTGGCATGGCTCAGTGGCTGAGTGTTGACCTATGAACTAGGAGGTCATAGTTCAATTCCCAGTCAAGGCACATGCCCAGGTTGTGGGCTCCATTCCCAGTGGGGGACATGGAGAAGGAAGTCAATGAATGGTATTCTCTCTCTCTCTCTCTCTCTCTCTCTCTCTCTCTCTCTCTCTCTCTCTCTCTCTCCTTCTCCCTTATTCTCTGAAATCATTAAAAATATATATTTTTAAAAATAAAAAAATATACTTAGCATCCTTAAACAAGCTTTATTTAATTTCTGACTCTGGATCAGCAGGCTGGGCTGGGCTCAGCTGAGTGGTTCTTCCCATCTCTCTCGGGCTCATGTACATGCCTTCTGTGAGAGGGGCTGGCTGCTTCACCTCCAGCTCCCTTGTCGGGGCTTCTCCTCAGCGATGGCAGGTTCAGAGAGCGCAGAAGGGTGCGAGGCCTCTGAGGTCCTGGCTTAGGATGTACAATATGCCTTCTGCCATTCTGTTAGCCACAGCAAGTCACCACAACCAATCAGAAGCAAGGGGTGCTCCTCTGAGTGGGAGGAACTGCAAGGTCACATTTCAAGGGGTGTGGCTACAGGGAGACCAGAGCATGTCCACTGTTTGCATTCCACCACTGAGCACAATAACAATTGGTAATTGCTTCTTTCTCTTTTCTAAAAAAAAAAAACTTTATTGTTCAGATTATTACAATTGTTTCTCCTTCCCCTCTCCCCCCATAGCTCCCCTCCATCTGGTCCCCACTCCACCCTCTGCTCTTACCCCACCCTGCTGTCCTCATCTATAGGCCTATGATTTTTGTCCAGTCTCTTCCCGTACCCCCCACACAGACACCCATTTCCCCCTGAGAATTATCAATCCCCTCCCATTCTATGACCCTGATTCTATTATATTCACCAGTTTATTCTGTTATTCAGATTTTTAATTCACTTGACTTTTAGATTCACGTGTTGATAGATATGTATTTGTTGTTCATAATTTTTATCTTTACTCTTTTCTTCTTCCTCTTTTTAAAGAACACCTTTTAGCATTTCATATAATACTGGTTTGGTGGTGATGTATTTCTTTAGCTTTTTCTGATCTATGAAGCTCTTTATCTGCCATTCAATTCTGAATAACTGTGCTGGGTAGAGTAGTCTTGGTTGTATTCTTGCTATTCAGCACTTTGAATATTTCTTGCCACCCCTGTCTGGCCTGAATAGTTTTTGTTGAGAAATCAGCTGATAATCGTATGGGTGCTCCCTGGTAGGTAACTGTTTTTCTCTTGCTGCTTGTAAGATTCTCTGTTTTTTGCTCTTAGTATTTTAATTATGATGTGTCTTGATGTGGTCCTCTTTGGATTCCTTTTGCTTGGGGTTCTGTGCGCTTCCTGGACTTGTAAGTCTATTTCTTTCATCAGGTGGGGAAAGTTTTCTGTCATTATTTCTTCAAGTAGGTTTTCAGTGTCTTGCTCTCTCTCTTCTTCTGGCACACCCATAATTCTGATGTTGGTTCGCTTGAAGTTGTCCCAGAGGCTTCTTACACTATCTTCAATTTTCTCAATTCTCCTCTCTTCTCGCTTCTCCAGAAGAGTGTCCTTTGTCTCTTTATGTTCCAAATCTTTGACTTGATTTTTGCATTCTTCTAGTCTGCTGTTGGGTCTCTGTATGATGTTTTACATTTAAGTCAGTGTATGTTTAATTTCTAGTTGGTTTAATTTCTTTTTCATTTCCTCGAGGGTCTCATTAATTTTTCGGTCTTTTCTAGGAAATTCTTGAAAAACCTTATAACTGTGGTTTTGAACTCTATATCCAGTCTTTTGTTCTCCTCCAGTTCTTTTGTTTGAGATCTCCTTCCTTTTCTCAGCATTTTCACTGCTTCCCTGAGTTGGTAGGGTAGCTTTGTGGGCCTGGGTATCCTATATGGTTCAATGGGTCAGCCTCCCAGTTGCCTGATGTGGACACTCTTGGTGCACCCTTTTGTGGACTGTGTGTTACTCCCTTGTTGTAGTTAAGTCTTGATTGTTGTTGGTGTCACTGGGAGGAATTGACCTCCAGGCCAATTGGCTGTGAGGACCCACTGTGTCTATAACGGAAGAATTCCTGTGCTGGAGGCAAGTTTATGGGGGAGGACTTGTTCCTGTAGGGCTTTGGTGCTCACTGAGTCTGTCTCTTGAACGTGTCCCTTATGAGAGTAGTTGAAATCTGGTGTCATCTCACACTGGCCACTAGATACACTAATTTCGGATCTCCAATGGGGTGCAGTTCAGCTACTGTTTGAGGTCACCCAGCAGTAGCTACCGCAAAAACTAGTTTTCTCCTCTTTGCTTAGGATTTGGCAGTTTTGGAGCTGCAGTTTATTTCATTAAACTGCCACAATACAGGCCATTTATATGCAAAAGCAGCTGTGTGGAGCCTGGGTGGGTTTGTAGAATGTGTGGGGCGGGGCCTCAGGGTGGGGGTCTCAGGATGTCACTAGGCTGGGGCGTGGCAAACAGCTATGGCTGCAGTCAGCCAACTCTGCCTTTCCGCGTTTCCAAGTCCCTGCGATCCAGCGCAGTAAACAATGATTGCTGCCCACACCTCTGCAAAAAAGTCACCCTCACTTTCGGACCTGAGGGCCGACAGACCAGCTTCTCCCCGTAGGCATCTGGGTCCCCCGCGTGACCCCAGAAACTGGATTTCAAAGTGATCAGGAGTTTGTTTCCCTTCAGGTTGAAAAAAAGCTGTGCGCCCAGTTGCCCACCACCAGCCCGATTCGCGTGCCTCCATATCTAGACTTTTCAGCTTCTCAGCACCTGTGCTCCTTTCTCTTTCAGCCAGCTTTCCTATGGTTCTGGGTGATAGATGTCTTTTAGTAGATAGATAGATAGATAGATAGATAGATAGATAGATAGATAGAGATAGAGATAGAGATAGAGATAGAGATAGATATATAGATATATATAATTTTTTACAGAGAGGAAGAGAGAGGGATAAAGAATTAGAAACATTGCTGAAACCAGTTTGGCTCAGTGGTAGAGTGTTGGCCTGCAGACTGAAAGGTCCCAGGTTTGATTCTGGTCAAGGGCATGTACCTTGGTTGCGTGCACATCCCCAATAAGGGATGTGCAAGAGGCAGCTGATGGATGATTCTCTCTCATCAATGTTTCTAACTCTCTATCCCTCTCTCTTCCTCTCTGTAAAAAATCAATAATATATATATACACATATATATAAAGAGTTAGAAACAGCCAAAACTGGTTTGGCTCAATGGATAGAGCGTCGGCTTGGGGACTGAAAGGTCCTGGGTTCGATTCCAGTCAAGGGCATAGCCCCAGTAGGGGGTATGCAAGAGGCAGCTGATCGATGACTCTCTTATCGATGTTTCTATCTATCTCTCTCCCTTCCTCTCTGTACAAAATCAATAAAATATATTTAAAATGAAGAGTTAGAAACATTGATGAGAGAGAATCATTGATCAGTTGTCTCTTGCATACTGGGGATATGCCTGCAACCAAGGTACATGCCCTTGACTGGAATCGAACCTGGAACCTTTCAGTCCACAGGCCGACACTCTATTCACTAGCCAAACCGGTTTCAGCTAGTTGTAGCTTTTAAATTGTTGTGCGAGGCGGCACATGAGTTGCTCACCTATGCCGCCATCTTGATTTCTGCAATTGCTCCTGTTTTTCACATGGAATAAGGACACAGCAGAATGCACGCACACGAAACCTCAGGGTTTGCAAGAGTCCACCTACATCCTGGGCTTCCCGCAGTCCAGCTTCCCTCTGCAAACAGGCACTCCCCACAGATGTCCAGAGCACATTCTGTCCCCTGCCTGTGCCTGTGCCTGTGCCTGCTGCCTCGAGGCTCCGGAAACAACCCTTCTCAGGGTCTCCTCTCCTTCAGGTCCTACTCGCGCTCTCCCAGCTACTCCTCCAAGTCTGGCAAGAGGAGCCCGCCCAGCAGAAGCTCCGGATCCCGCCGCAGCCCCAGCTACTCCCGCTACAGCCCCAGCAGGTATGGGCCCCCGCTCCTGGGCACTGGCCCCGCCCCTATGAGTAGGCCCCGCCTCCCAGGCTCACAGTGGAATGTCCCCAAGCCCCGCCCCTACTCCCCTTAGGTCAAACCAGCCAGACTAGGAATAGGATAATGATTAAACTGTAGTTCCATTTGTAAACTGGGGTGGCAACTGAGGCCCCAAATATATCCTCGTGCCCTAATGTACTCCCACCCCAAAGGCTCCCACGACCACACCCCAGAATTCACATCACCATTCACACTCCCTGTGCTACCTCTTATCCCCATAATGATCCCCCAATTCTGACTCATCAGGCCTGTGTAACCTTCACATCCTCACCCTGCAGCTCCTGCCCACCCTCAAAGGCTGACACCCTGCCCGCGGTGCCCACCCAGCCCGCGGTGCCCACCAGCCCACGATGCTCACCCAGCCCGCGGTGCCCACCCAGCCCGCGGTGCCCACCCAGCCCATGGTGCCCACTCTGCCCGCGGTGCCCACCAAGCCCACAGTGCCCATCCTGCCTGCGGTGCCCACCAGCCCATGGTGCCCACCCAGCCTGCGGTGCCCACCCTGTCCACAGTGCCCACCCTGTCCACAGTGCCCACCCTGCCCGCGGTGCCCACCCAGCCCGCGGTGCCCACCCTGCCCGCGGTGCCCACCCAGCCCGCGGTGCCCACCCAGCCTGCGGTGCCCACCAGCCCACAATGCCCACCCTGCCTGTAGTGCCCACCCAGCCCACAGTGCTCACTCATGTAGACTCCCCAGCCTGCCATCTTCCCTCCTGCCCTCTGGAGCCTGAGCAGACCCTGCCGCAGCGGGGGGAGGGCATGGGCACAGGAAGTGAGTGCCCCTCTCAGCCCCTGCCCAGTAAGCCAGGCAAGCCCAGCTTCCCAGTAACCCCCTCGCACCCCTTCAGGGAGCGGGACCCCAAGTACAATGAGAAGAGCTCGCAGCAGCGGGAGCGCGAGCGGCCGCGGAGGAGACGGAGGTCCTACTCGCCCCTGAGGAAGCGCCGGAGAGACTCCCCGAGCCACCTGGAGGCGCGGCGGATAACCAGGTGAGGGCGCCTTCCGGCCCCGCCTCCCCGGGGCTCAGGGGCCACATCGCCCCAAGCTCCCAGTCTTCAGAGCCTCAGGGCCAAGTCAGCACCCAGCCCCTCCAGGCTGGGAGGGGTGCGGGAGGGGTGTGTGGGCCCAGGGGAGTCGGGGCCAGGAGGCGGGGCTGGGGGAGGAGGGAGGAGGGAGGAGAGGGACAAAGCAATGGCCTGGCCTTCGCCTGGGGTGGCGCTGGGCGGACACAGGCCCAGGATCCAGGCTGATAGGCCCATGGTATCTGCACCCTGACCAGTGTGCAGAGGGCAGGTGGGGGAGCTCAGGGTGCTGGGAGGGAGGTGAGGAGAGGCCTGGGTTTGAGTGGAACCTGGCCATGCCACTTCCCCGGGAACGGGAAATCTCTCACCCGGAAGTCTGGGAGGATTCAGTCAGGGAATATCTGAAATGAGAGGACACGGATGTGGACGTGCTTGTGGGTTAAATGCAGAGCACTGGGCCCGCTGTGTGCCATCTATGGATGGGCGGGCAGGTGCCAGTTTCAGTAACAGGTGAGGTCTCAGAAGAGAAGCTGGTCTCAGTGGACGGGCTGCCTCAGGCCCCGGCAGCTGGGAGAACGCCTAGTGCTGCCCTCCCGCTGGCTCCAGGGCTTCTCCTCTGACCCTGAAGGATCAGCCCGGAGACCGGCAGGGCAGGGCTGCCCCCTCATGGCCGGGAGAAGGAGAAAGAACTTGTGCCGAAGGAGGGGCCTCCTGCGCCCGCTGCCACGGCTTAGAGGAAGGCTGGGGCCATGAGAGTGGCATTCCCAAAGACTCAGGTTTCCTTGGTCAACCCCGAATAGTCCACCCGATGACCTCATCCCGTCCGTGTCTCCCAAGCCTCAGCCACCCCCACCTTTGCCTTGTCCGCTCAAGTGTCCTGGCGTTGACTTAATTTTCTCTAAATAGACTTGCCTTTTCTTAGAAGCCATACATTTCTCCAAAAAGGAAACTGAGACACCACAGTAAACGGAAAATTGTCCTTCCTGCCATAAATAGAAGGTTCCAGTCTAAGTAAAAATAGCCAAAACTCAGACTGAAGTCAACGTAGACTCCGCGGCCAGCGGAAGGCTCGGATCCCGGGCCTGCTGTGTTAAAAGGTGAAACTACCACTTCTTGGGCCTCGTCAGCACCAGATCTGTCTCGGGGCCTCGGAGCCGCCGCTCTGCCCCCTGGGACAGGCACGGGCTGGGGCGCGGGCGGCGGGGTCTGGCCTCATGCTCTCCCTCTGGTCCTCGCAGCGCCCGGAAACGCCCCGTCCCCTACTACCGGCCCAGCCCCTCCTCGTCCAGCGGCCTCAGCAGCGCCTCCTCCTGGTACAGCGGCAGCAGCAGCCGCTCCGCCAGCCGCAGCCGCAGCCGCAGCCGCAGCCGCAGCCGGAGCCGCAGCCGCAGCCGGACGAGCAGCAGCTCCAGCTCCCGCAGCCCCAGCCCAGGCCCCCGCAGCCGCAGCCGGAGCCGCAGCCGGAGCCGCAGCCAGAGCCGGAGCCGGAGCCGCAGCCGCAGCCACAGCTCCGCAGACAGCGGCTCCAGCACGAGGCGCTAAGCCCGGCCTCCGGAGCCAGCTGCCTGCGGGAGGCCTCGCCTCGGCCAGCCCCTCCCTGCCCCCCTGCCTTCTTGGTGACAGACTCTGGGGGCTCCTGGAGGAGGAAGAGGGGCGGCCTCTGTCCAGCTGCCGGAGCCTCCACCAGCGCCACTCCGGGCTCAGCGCAGCCGGACTGCGGGGACCGCGCCGCCCTCGGGCGCTGTCAGCAGCGGCGGGGCCATGAGGCCGGGGCCTGGCCGGGGGCACACAGAGATGGCTCCGCTGAGCCTGCTCCAGGGCTCAGGGCAATTTAGACCCCTCCCTCATGCAGGCACCCGGCTGCAGGGATACGGATCCCTCAAGAGGGGGCTGCGGGGGGGGGGGGGGGTTAGAGAAGAGACCAAGGGCCCTTCAGCTCCAGGAGAGGGCCAGGCCTTTCGCCCCAGCAGGCCAGAGCGAAGGCTGGAGGCTGTGAGTCCCGGAAGGGACGTGTGAGCAGGGCCGTGGGCAGGAGGGTCCTCTGCCCGGGGAAGCAGACACAGGCGAGCAGGTCAGGAGCAGCAGCCGGCAGGTTCCAGCACGGAGAGGCCACCCATGGCTCACCCACAATGCCTCTGGGCTGTTCGCAGGGACCTGCAACCTCCCGGAGAAAGGACACAGCCCCCTTCCCAAACCTGCCTTAGCCCCACCAGCTGGCACCAACTTAACTCCCCGGGACCATCTGCCGAACACTCCCCGTGCCATGGCCGGCTGCCAGCCCCAGCGCCAGCCCGTCTGGCCGTGCCCTCCGGTTGGCGCCTGCCTGCCCCCTCCCCATCACCCCAACTGCCACACCCTGGATCCTGCCCAGGGCAGCCGAGTGCCCACCTCTGCCTCCGCCTCCGCCTCCCCCTTTGCCTCAGGAATTTTGCTAGGATGGGGCGCAGCAGCTCCAGTTTGGGGAAAGACCCAAATCCGGAGAGCCTGGGGGTCTTGGGTGCTCCATGCCCTGAGCTGCCAGTGGCTCTTGAGGTTCCTGTCAGTGCAGAAAGCCCCACCCTATTTCTGCCCCCCCCCCCGCCCCACCCCACCCCACCCCACCCCATCCCTGCCCAGGCGGGGCACGGGGTAAGCTGATCTCTCACACAAACACCAGCAGCTGCTGCGTGCACAGAGGCAGAGAACGGGGTGAGCGAGGATCCTCAAATAACTCCGGGCAGCCCCCTCACCAGCTGGCCGGCCCTCCGAGCCTGGGGGCTGGGTTTCACGTTGTGGCCACAGCAGCAGGGCAGGACCTGGAGGGAGGGAGGGGACTCTCAGCTCTGGGGAAGCAGGGATGAGGCGTCCTTAGCCCTCACACCACAGGGAACAGCGTGGTTTTGTTCTGAAGCAGCAACCCTCCCCCCATCAGCCATCACCCAGCCGAGGGGCCAGGCCTGCAGCAGCCACCGGAGCCGACTGTCCAGACAGCGTGGGGACTGGCCTCCCCGCCACACCTCTGGCCCAGGCCCGGCCCCGCCCGCCAAGACCCACCGATGCCAATGCTGTCACCACGGAGGCCCGTGGCAGGTGCCGGGACAGACAGGTGCCCAGGAGGGCGTGTACAGCGACTGTAAATAACCCTCTCCTCCCGGAGCCCACTGGACGTCACCCCTCACGGAGGAGACTGCGGCTCCCGAGCCAGGGCACCTCCCCCGAAGCAGCAGGAGGCCTGACTGCCGGCAGGCCCGTTATTTATTTTACGTATTTATGTTTATTTATTTATTTATTTATGTGACGAGCTCTCGCTGCGCCGCCGTTAGCAGTATTCACTATTTATTTATTTATATGGAGGCTGTGGGGGGGGGGGGTCGGGGGAGGAGGGGTTTTCTAAAGTATTTCTGTGCATCTCACCTCTCTCCCCTTGTGTGTCTCTGGATGGGACGGGAGAGGCGGGTGGGGGTGGGGGCGTTGGCTTTCGCCCTGAGGTGAGCCCCCTGAGCTCCAAGCCCCGGCTCTTCCCTCAGCCCCGCCTTGGGGTTCAGGTTGGGCCCCCCGCCCACCAGGTCGGCCGCTGAGCAGTGATGTGACAGTCACAGCTCACCTGGGGTTGGAATCCGGTCAGCTGGAGGGAAAGCTGGGCCCCGGGAGTCCTGCAGGCGCTGAGGGGCGGGTGGTGCCAGGCGCGGGTGTGGAGGCCTGGAGGTTGGAGGTCACGAGGTCACAGGAGGGGTAACTGGGAGGCACTTGGAGACCGGGAACATGCACCCCCTCGCCTCACCCTGCCCCAGGGCACCTGCTGGCGGCAGCATCACTAGGCATCCCCACCCCCGGCTGCTTCCTAGGAGGGACCGCCCCACAGGCTGGCCCCTTCCTCCGTCCTGTGACCGCTCTGTCCTTGCTCGGGGGCCGAGGTGCCAGTCATCCGGGAGACACCCCCCCCCCCACACACACACACACACCCCCAGCGAAGGCCTCCTCCTGTGACCTCCTGCTCCTCTGTCAGAGCGAGAACAAAGCTGGTTCTGAAACTGGGGCGGGAGTAAAATGAGCAGCTGGAGGGCCCCCCCACTTCCCGAAGGTCGCCTCAGAACCCATCCAGGGGCCCAGTTCCCGGCTTCCCAGCCTCCTGGGCCCGGCCAGCGGGTCTGCATCTGGGATGGCTCGTCCTTCCCACAGTCGCCCTGGACGGTCGCTGGCCTGGCCCGGCACTGGGTTTGGTGAGACTTGGGCCACAGCCCTGGCCGTTTCCCTGGCAATGGGACTCACCCGCCTCCACCAGGCGTCCCAAGCGCAGGAGCCCGGCCTGGGCAGGCTGGCAGAGGCCGCTTCAGTGCCCGGGGGCCCTGTCCCTCCTCTCCCTGGGTGCTGCTCATCGCCTTTACAGCCCCCACCATTCCTGCTCCCCCCACCCCATTCCAGGGACCAGGCCGAGGCCCGAAGCCTCAGGCAGCGCACAGAACACCAGCGCGGACAGGGAGGGGACTGGCTGAGGCCGGACACCTGGCCTCGGCCCCCGGCTGGGGACTCACCGAGTGAGGCGCCTGGCAAACTGCTCCTTCTGGGGCCGGTTCCCACGTTGAGGAGTGGGGTTCCTCCGAGGCCCGGGCAGTTCTCAAAGGCAGAGCGAGCTCCCTGAGACCTGGAGAGAGAAGGACACAGGACATGACGAGGCGGTTTGTCGGAGAGGAGAGGAGAGCCCGAGGCAGTTTGGGGTTCCCTCTGGCTGAGAGGAGCCGCCCCAGGTCAGAGCCACCCGGCCTCACTGCATCTGGTCTCTCCCCTTCTTTGGAGGAAAGGCAACAGGAAGTCAGGCTGTCTGAACGACGCAGGCCTCAGCCCCCACCCCTTCACTCGTTCGGACCCTCTTCCCAGGTTTGCTTGAAGAGGCCAGAATTCGGGGTGCGGCCAAGGGTTCGAAAGCATCTTCTCCCCAAGGGCCACTTCTGTCGCTGTTCCTGCCCGGCTCCCCCGGACAGCCAGGGCAGCCTCCTGCAGGGACCGTGCTTTTCTCTTCAGCTGAATATAGAATTTTGTTTAAAACCTGCAGGTTTCCTAACACTCGCCCCTCCAGTAGCGGCCACCGGCTCCCTCCCACCCGGGTCCCAAGGGGGAGCTTCTGAGCCTCCCCTCTGCCCGCCCGGCCTGCCCTCCTCCCCCTCCGCCCGCCCGGCCTGCCCTCCTCCTCCTCCTCCTCCTCCTCCGCTCTGTTGTCTCCTGTTGTTCGTTTTTATTTTTTGAGGTGATTTTTTTAGTGGTGATGGTTTTGCATTGTCACACCGTGATGGGGACCCCTTATCAGAACTCGGCTTATTTGCTATTTATTTCCTGTTTATTGAGTGGTGCTGGGAGAGGAGAGGGACTACCCCGGCCCCACAACGGCTCCTGGAAATCAGCCCGGCGCCCGGCTCCCGGCTCCCACCTCCCGGCTCCCAGCTCCCGGCTCCGGGCGCGGCCGCCCGCGTGGGTGCGTGATCACCCAGGTAATGAGAGCGAGAATCGCCGAGCAAATTGGAACTGGCAGCAGCGCAGGCTTCAGTCATACAAATTAAGCTCAAATGGAACCGAAACACTGGTTAACTCCGGGAAAACCTCATTTAGATGGAAATTAATTGAGGAATAAAATGCCTACACACGAACCAACTCCTATTAAAAAGTCACAGCTCCTTGGGAGGAAAAGGTGGGAAGAAGGTGCAGTGCCTCTTCCTGGGCCAGGAAAAGCCGAGCCCCCCTTGTCCGGAGGTGAACGGAGTGCGGCCGGGCTCGGCTCAGTCCTGCCGTCTGCGGAACGGGGTGTGGCCCGAGGGTTCTTGGCAGCGTGGAGGGAGGGGTTCAGGGCTGCCAGAGCCCCCGCCCTGCAACCTCAGGATGCTTTCTGGCCGGGACTACGCTTGGGCCTTCTGCGCTGTATCGCTCTCTCCGTTCTCAGCCGTTCCCTCCACAGCCATGAGCCCGGACCTAGCAGACCTACCCCATCAGCCCAAGGCCGTTTCTCCCCATCAGGGGCTGGAACGCCCACCAGGAAACCCCAGCCAGGGCCACCACCAGCCCAGCTCAGGCTGAGCGCCAGCCTCTGCCTCTGCCAGGCCAGCCACATGGGAGGGGAGAGCTCTGCTGTCCTCCCGCGTCCTGGGACCCAGCGCCCACGGCCACGCCCGCCTGCTTCCCATTCACAGCTGAGCAGAGCCGGCTCCGGGTCCGACTCTCAGCCTGTTCGCAACCCGAGTCTGTCCTAATAAAGGTCCCACAGTATGGGGTCGCACTCAGGTGGCTGCTCTGTGCCTGTTGGGGTGAGGCAGGGGGAGGGGGGGAGGAGGAGGAGGAAGAGGAGAAGGGGGGCACGCCTGTCGCCTTGCTCATTTCTTCCACCTGCAGAACAAGCCTGGAGGCGGGGCCTTGCGTGCTCTCCGGGGTCCGGGCCTGAGGGCCGGGCCTGGGCCTCGGCGGGCGCTGGGTTGGCTTCCCCACGACCCTGGAGCGGTGTGAGGTCCTCCTTCCGACAGGAAAACCAGGGCCCCAAACACTTCCCTGCCGGCCCGGAGGCGATGATGGGCCCAGGCCCA